AATATAAAACGGGCTTGAGATGCTGGCCCGCCCCGCCTAAGGACGAGCTGGCGGGTTGGCGGGCTAGCCCGCATACAAAAATAAAAATAAAAAAAAATTGAAAAAAAATTTGCTACAAATAAATAAATATAATCATATGAAATTAAAAATGCATACATATTGTACATAATATATGTTCAACAAAAACAAATTACAAACTTAGAACAAAATCAAATCGAAATTAGTCCATTTACACCAAAATCAAAACTAAATTATAAACTTACACAACTAAATTTTTTGATAGTTCACAAAACAAGTTTAAATATAATTAATTAACTTTAAATTTTTATTTTAAGAATATTAGAAGCTCTCTTAGAAGAAGATGTCGCTACTTTTTTTCTTGATCATCATCATCATCCTCATCTTCTACATCAAAATAAAATAAACATAAAAATAATTAAATTTAAAAAAATATATATGCGGGCCGACGGGTTGTGGCGGGCCGGCCCGGCAGGTTGGCGGGCTTGGCGGGGCAGGCTTAGCAAGTTGGTAGGTTGAAATGATGGGCCCGACCTGCCAATTTTTGGTGGGCCAACGGGCCGGCCCGCGGGCCACAACCCACTTTGTCATCCCTAAGAGCAAGTCAATAACTCTATTATTTACATATCGGAATTTCACAAAATAGGGGAAAAACTCACTTGAAAATTCTTGAAAAGTCACTTCAAACAATCCTTCAAAACCCGATGAGTTTGGATGAGATTGTTTTATGAATTTGGTATTTATAGATAAACTAGAAAGTCCTTCAAAATCTCTCTCACACAACAATATTTTAAAATCCTTATATTTTTGAATACAATGAATTGTTTTTAAGTTGTTAAAAATCTCAAATGAATACCAATAGATTTTAATAGACTCTTTAAAAAATCTTGAAAATCCAGATTGAATATCACTGAATTGTTTTTAAGTGACATAAAATCCTGATTGAATACTAATGGACTTTTTTACTCAAGAAAAGTCTTTTAAAATCCTACGAAATCCTAAATCAATACACCCCCTAAGTTTCTACCTGAACTTTGCTCGTGACTTTGCTCTCATAGAACAGACTTGTACAGTAACGAAAGACGAGGCTGTAACCAGATATTTTTGTTCATCATTGTCTCATTTTGTGTTATGTAATGAAACTCGGTTCTAATTGTTTGGACTAATGCATGTTCAGTTGGGCTTGGGCTTTGTTTTTCTAATTTTCTTTGTTGATTGTGTGGAACTTCTTGTTGCTTCTTGGCTTTCATCTTTCTACGGGAGGTTACATGTATGTCTTTGTTGGTCAAGATCACCTCTTTAGATGCACTTCTAGGGGAGCTCAAGTTTCCATTGAGACACCACTGGTAACAAATTCGATTATTGTTGTTTGATAGGGTCGAGTTTCTGTTGATACCCGAGTCAAGGTACACCACTGATCACAATCTCTATTATAGCTTGTTTAAAGGGTCAAGTTTTCCTTGAGATGCGGGTTGAGGCACATTGCTAATCACAATATACATTATTACTTCCTTAATGGGACCAAATTTTCGTTGAGACGACAATCGAGGCGCATCACCATTCACCACTCAAATTTTCATTTTTTTTATATTATAGCTTGTTCAATGGGGTCGAGTTATTGCGTGTTGTTGAGTACATACCACTTTGTCAATATTTTTCTAATGAAAAATGATAGATCCTTCGAACATAATCGTCCGAAAAATTAATTAACACACTGATGATGAATATTATAAATTAAATTTTTTAACAAATGTCACTTTATTATTTATTTGGAGGATGATTCGGTCGTTTTTTGGAATGTATAGCATCATTCTTTAATGTACCGGAAGGACCCTATCGGTCACGCGGACCAACACGTGACTTGCCGTCAGACACCCATGCAAGGTGAATAACCCTAAAAGCCTTAACATTAGCACCGGCTCGGATTACAGCTGAAAGTAAGTTATGAGTCGGATGGCGTAATCGGCTCGGTGTGAGATTGATACGAACCAAGGGGGAGCCGAGGGACAAGATAATAATTATAGCCTCCACCATGATTAATGAGGATAAGTACGTGATTAAAGCATAATGAGCCTATTAGCGGCGTATTACCTAATTTGGTAAACTTCAGGAGAGGCCCACTACTGACAAGGCCCATCAGTGGTAGTATAAATAGGTCACTTTTGTCAAGGTATGTCACTGTTCATTAATTACCCTAGAATATCGTGCTTGTCCT